ATTTTAAAATTCGATGTTTTGAAATCGTAAATCTCCTGCTAGAATATTTGGAGATAAGTGCTTGCTTCTGAAAATTGATCAGGTCAAAGTTGATCAGGTCAGGAAAGAAGCCGCGGTTTAACCAGCGATATTTGCCCCGATAAGCTCACCAGATTTTGAATTGAGTCTAAGCTTCATCACAAATCTGCGGGATTCATTTGCTCGAAGCGAATTGTAAGATGAAACAGCAGCATATCTTACCTTCAGCCCCACCTTCGGTGGATTTTCCTGCTGCTGAATCTGAAGCGACTTTTGTCCACCAGGCATCATTGTCTGATGGTGGAGGAGGGCGTTCTGGCGCGGTCGATGTACCTATGAGAATTGGAATCTGCAAAGAAAGGCAATCAAATGACCAGAATTTTTGAAAAAATGCAATTGATAAACTGGACAAGAGAAATCTGATATTTCACCGTCTCCATCTGCTTCTAAAATGAAGCTGTTCGGAAAATTTCATCAAAAAAATAAACTTTCCAGTTTTTTGTCTTACCTTTATCAGACAAATGGCGTGTTTGCTCTTCTGGTGGCGATTGAAACCAATTTCCAACTTAAGAAAATGATCCACTTTCAGTCGACCCAGTATCTCAAAGTCTGGCACTAGGGCAGGAACATAGAATTCAGGCGCATATTTGTAGGTGTTACCACTGGGAATTTTCGGAATCGGTAGACCAACACCTAAAGAAATCACTAGAAATTAACAAAAACACCAAAAAACAACCTAAATTAAGCTAGAGTGGGTACAAATAAAATTTCTTGCTCTCAACTGATCAAGGAGAGTGTTTGGATTCTGTGCAGATGAGATAGCGATAATATTTGGCTAATGCAACGCTACCACTAAAATTCGGAGCATTATTCTTTATTATCTTCAAACTTTATTAATTTTTTCGGCTCCATCTCGTGCGCAGTCTGTTCGATGCGCAATTTCAAAGTGGAAGCTTGGGAAAATCGGCATAAGAAAACCGAGAGTAATCGAAGTAAATCGGTAACCTGACGTTTCGAAGGCACAATCTCTTGTGGCTGGACTTGGATATGTGGCGAAGCATGAGGCCAACTGCACAATGGACAAGTGAGCATGCTTCACCGACTTACCAGATCTGAAAATTCCGTCATCAGAAATTCACTTCGCTGATTCTTGGGGGTGGGGAGGGATTTCCGATTGCAAACGATAGTGATACAAAAAAACTCACTGATTCTCGATAAGGATTCCTACTGGAATACGTTCACCTGGAATGAAACCCTTCTTCGACAGATGCAACTCGGCGTTCAAGTGATTACCTCTGAAAATGAAATGGCACCAAAACCAAAATTACTCGATCATCAGATCATCAGGATCTTGAGCCTAACTCGCAGATGACAGCTTGAGTCGAATATTGATATCTTCAGGTCAGAACGATTCAATTAGGTGAAATTCATTGGAAACTTAGCCACG